TTATCGAGGTTGCGCTCCGCAGTTTTACTTTTTTATTAGGCCTAGACACGTTTTTATTCCTGAGATCCAAGAACAGTGCGGATAATTAAACTAGCTTTCAGAGACGGCATCGTTCGGTATTAGAACATCTATGTTTCGCAGCGTCAAGGGGTCACATTCACGACCCGGCAGTGTAAACATCCACAACGCCTTTATCGTGTTAAAAAAAAAAAAAATGTTTTTATATTTGTTTTTTTGTTTTTGGTGCGGTATGTCGTATATAACATAAGCTACCGGGGGACAGATCGTCTGGCTATGTCAAAATTTGAAATATTTCTGTTAGATGATCGTAACTACCACAGAAAACAGCCGATTCTTGACTGAAATAGCATATTTTCACACTCAATTAAAATCACCAATAACACGATCTCAGGAGAGTTGTGTACCTCTCGTAGCGTCATAAGCAATACACACATCTCTTTCTTGTCCAGATTCTGCAATGCAATGCAAATTATAGTTTTTGTAACTCAAAGCGCGTGCTCAATCATGCCACGTGTTTGTTAATTGTGGTTGTTGCTCTTCATTCGGATTCTCCGCTATACCGTTTTTATTTTAATTTTCTTATCAGAGCCAAATACGTGCGTATACCACCGACCTTAAGTATAGTGCATCAAATTAAACTAGCTTCCTGAAAAGGTATCGTTCGGCGTTGTGTAATTTATTCTTCATGGCGTCGGTGGTCAGATTCTCGAATCCTGAACTGCAAATGTTCCTCGCCGCATTGTTTTTTTCTCGCGTTTTCGCAATAAAACACGTCAGCCTTGCCATGCTGGGATCAAATACACCAGCGTCGGCAGTTATTTGCGAAGGATTGATCTATGCGAATATTTCCACTCGCTATTCATGAATTGCCACAGTTCGTCAGAATCTGAATGACTTGACTGCATAGTAAAAACGGCAAAAAAAAAAAAAAAGATAAAACGATGTCGGTTAGTAAACGGAACTTCCATGGCGGGGCTCGCCAGCCTAAACAGCAAAGCGCCGATGCCGGCCAGTCGCTGAACTTCCGTGTAAATACTGGCCATCAGAGACAGCAAAGTGCCGATGCCGGCCAGTTACTGAACTTCCATGTAAATACTGGCCATCAAAGACAGCAAAATACCAATGCCGGCCAGTTACTGGAACCTCCATGGAAAGACTGGCCAGCAAAGACAGCAAAAACCCGATGCCGGCCAGTCACTGTAACTTCTTCGGCTGAACTGGCCAGTGAGCAAGACGAAACCCCGACGCCGGCCGGGGCCGGTAGCTGACCGGCGCCAATGGCCGGGCGCCGCCATCCTGTTACCAGGACCGGCCGGCGTAGTCCCGATACCGGCCGACGCGGTGTGCTACCTGGGTATATATCATACAAAAGAGAGTGTGCATAGAGATTGAACGGGAGTCACCGCGAGATCCGTGCTTCGAATGCCGCGTGGCAATGCGTTCGAGGAGAAAACTTGGGACGCGGCATCCAACCCCGGATATTCCGGTGCCTCGAGTTCGCAGACTGTCCTTTGTTTGAGAAGTGTGATCCCGGCTTTAGGCTTCAGATAATTGGCAGCAATGATTCTACGCGGGAAGGGAGTGTCGTTCCTCTGAAGCAGCTCTATAGGCAATGTAGCCACGAGCGCTCTCGGTGCACGGATCAAAGCCACGCGCGAGGACGCGCATCTTCTCTACATTTGCACTGCGACGGCAGCGGCCTTCAAGTCGAAGCCTCGCAACGCGACTGTGATACGTCGTCTGCCACCGACAGTCTTGGGGAGGGACGTCTGATCATCTGATCATTTGGATTTTTACATCCCGGGTGAAGTGGTATCCCACTCGAATTTTGCGCCGGCTATAATATTCGCACATTCTGAGCTTGTCCCTCACCCAACGTGGTTTGAGACAACACCTAATTTAAACGTCTGCAGTAGACTATTAGAATCTCCATAGTTTGCCGCCACAATTAAAATTTTCTTCCCATTACCCATTCGCTTCTTTATAGCCATCTTTTCTGTCCGTGCGAGTCTTTTCTCCGTTATAGACGGATGACGCTGCACATAATTTAAACCGGAGACGAAGGGACGAGCCAGCTCGCCGATTTGTTAACTTTGTCCTCAAACATTTACACGAGGGCATTTCCCCTTTTCACCACTAATCATTGCGACGGCAGCTAACGGGCGGTGCTTTCCGGTGATAGGTGATGCTGACATTTTATGGCGACTCGTACCAAAGGATCACACGTTGCGCAATGCGGCGTTTGGTTAACGAATTAACGGCCTTAGAACTTCTCCCGATGCCTTAATCCGCTTCCAGGAACTGCACCACCCTAAATATTTAGATGAAGTTAAATACGAGTGAAAAGTCAAACTTCACGAGATGGAGCATTTTTATTCCGAGGACAAGTATTGTCCACCTTAATCTTAGAAGCACTTTAGACTGCTCCAAATTTTCGTTTTTAAGTTGATGACGTCATACCTTATCTAATCCATAGATGGCATTGTTCGTATCCTTTATTTGCTCTTATTTTTTCTTCGCGTATTACTTTGCATGTAAAATGTGGAGAGACAAACAACGAACGCAGAAAGAGAGCGCGAAGAAAAAATGGGGCGGAGTTCAACCATTTTTGGACTCGGAGGAATTCCGACAGCTCATCTGTTCCGAGCCTTTGAGAGGGCGCTTCATTTCTCTGCGGTTGCTCGGTCTCACAAAAATGTTTTGATCTGTGAGCGTGCTTTTTTTTTTTTCTTTTTTTGTTTCCTTCTCTTTCGAGAGCCTTCATTTGTATGGAGGAAGCTTTGCGGTTAACACAAACTCAACCCCCCATAGGCTTCTCAGTTCATTAAAATGATCGTTAAAAAATGTAAAAGCAGATTACTCCCAGTCAACGTTGCGATTCTAACGACAATAGTAAAAAAAAATCAGAGCACAATTTACCAGAAATAATTGATGCCGTGGAACACTCCAGAAAAACCTTTACACCATTAAGAGCGAAACACTAACCCAGGGGCTTTCTAAAGGTATATCCCCAAAAGGTTTATTCCCACTATGCATGTTTTCATCGCGCAACGGTTTAGCGAAACCGACATTTCGCGAAATCGGCCTTTTCACAGAGTTTGATGCCCGAAACGTGTGTCGTATTGACTCACGAGAATTTCGCCAAACTTTGTCGTTTGCACCGGGAATATCGAGGGCTTCGCGTCAAAGTCATATAAAGTACGCACAGTATATATATATATATATATATATATATATATATATATATATATATATATATATATATATATATATATATAATGCATCCAGTTAGGCGAAGGTCCGTAACAGAACAACCCTTTGCCACCCCCCGTTCGTTCAGGGCAGCGATAAGCAAAAAATCACACTATGTTTATTTATTTACTTATTTATAATTAATTAATTAATTAATTAATTATTAATACTCTAAACTCATCCGAGTCGAATCAGGAGTTACATAATAAAATATACACCTAGGAAAACACTAGGAACAGCAATACGACAAGGCGCAAAAAGCAATATATCAGTCGCTGACAGTTTACGAAATGCTTATTATGTTGACACTTTCTGCTTCGCGATTCGTTTTGATCAGCTGATGCCGCAATCTGATTGGCTGCGGAGCGCTATCAAGATACGCCAGACTCACCACGCTTCTTAACTTCTCAGTAGCAGAAGATATCAAGTTCATTAGTTACACAAGATTTTCAAGGGCGCAACCCTCTTGCAATGGATGTTCGACTGTTGTACTATGAGCAGTAATTTCTGGCAACTTCATGCAGCGTTTGTCGTGAGAAAAAAAAATAGAGTAAAATTTAAATGTATCGATGGTATACTAAACCGCATTTCCGAAGCAGTCGGGAATTGGAATAAATGCTATTCATTTTCATGTTCAATTGATGACAAGAGCGAGCGCAACCACTGAGCGGTTTCTGCTACAATGCCAATAGGAATGCAGTTTGAATCACGATTATGGAGTCTCTATCTTTTGAGGTCGAATGTCGAGGGTTGTCGGGTTAGACGTATATGACGGTCAGTTTTGGGCGGGTGTCGTCCAAGTTGTTGCTATTGACAAACTTCCATCGCGTGACGCCAAAAAGCGCCCTCTATCCTCTAAATATTAGGTAGGTGATGATAACTAATTTTATTAAATTCACTGACTAGGCGCATGGTGCAAGCCGTGGCCCGATCTGAGGGGCTCGACCGTATGCGTCTGTGGCCACGCACGCACCAACATGCAGCGGCTCCCGAGAGAACATTTCTCCGTTCGACTCGATCGGCTCTTGAGATCATCGGATTACGGTACCCGATTCATGTGCCGCGTCGTTGGCTGAACTTGCCGCACGCTTGCATCAGTTCCGCGCAATATCCAGATTACATCACATTGGATAATAACCTCGTGGCTCATCATCGCGACCCGAATACTGCTCTCTCGTCTGATTGACGTATTGCCTCGCGATTTCGACAGATCACGCTACCGCGAGGTAACCCTACGCACGAGGGTATGAGAGAATACGGCGCAAGATCACCAGGGAGACTGCACAGGGAGGCGACGCAACACACCGACAGCACGCTACACATCCATCCATGCATCCATTCTGGCAGGTAGCGTAGTTCTTTGGGCCGAAATGTAGTCTTTGTCTGGAAATTTAGGGCCTTTAAACCCGAAGAAGCCAAGGCGGAGCCAAACTTGGACCAATTGTTTGGCCAGAGTCTGGGTATCTTAACCCTAATTTGGCGAACCATTAAGTGCCAGAGTTATAAGCTTCATTTTTGGCTCTTCGCTACAGGCATCTTTGGCTCAAGTCTGGCACTTCGGCGATAATGTGGCGAGCCAGGGAAAAGCCATAAAAATGCCAAAGTAATGTACGCTGGAACTAAACTTGGAGCAAAACCGTATTAGGCCTAAGTTAGGCCCCTCGGGCTGTCAAGTTATGTTAAGTTAGGCGTTTTTTCTGGCGTGCTGCCCGGGCGAGCTCACCCACCTGAGGAGTACGGGTCCCGAGCCGAGGTTGTAGCGGAACTCGAGGTGGCCTTCTCTTAGCGCGAGCGACACGAAGTCTCCGGCGCCGGACGCCGTCTGGCCGTTGTAGAGGAGGATTCCATCCGGGGCGTCGGCCTTAAGCTCGAGCTCGAGCGAGAGCCCAGTGTAGGCCTGCAGCCGGGGCAGTTCCATGTAGGAGCGCCCGGAGAACTCGGGAACTCGCAGCGCTGGCAGATCCTCCGGGGCACGGGCCTCCTCCGGGGTTTCTTCCTGGGGTTCTGAGAGAAAAACACCAAGGCGTTGTTTTACTCAGACACGTCTTTAGGGGCGTCTTGATATACTCGGAGACAGCATTATCTCGCAATGCAGTAAAAGGTATGGGAACCCGTACTTGAAAGCTGATCAAAGAGGGGCACGCGCGCTGCTCCTCACTTCGGAAATGCCACAGAAAGTGTTCGCTACTATCCGTTGCGGATTGAAGCGGTCAGAGCAACGACTGTCGGAAAACTCCTTATCACGGCGACGACAGACTCTCAACATGTGCCTAGCTCACAGATTCGGGCGCCAAATGGACTACGTATACAAAACAAAAGGCAGAAGAGAAAACGTTCACGATGCCAAGATCGCTAAACAGCACGAATCAGGCCAGCAGAAATAAATGTCTGGCATGTGCTTTCTTCTGTCATTTATACCATCAGCAGATGACGAAATGGTACACCGGTACATGCAACGCGACAGGATCAACACACCGAGAACTTATGGCCACAAGGTATACACTCCTCGTAATTATCCACGCATCTCTACGAAAGAAGAGCCTGTCACGCCAAGTCCGAGGTTTCAGGCCAGGAGTTGTCTGATAAGCGGGTCATCCTGAGCTACCTGGTTCGAATTGAGCGTGTCACTGAGCTGTTGAACATTTCGTGCAGTTGTGAGCTACAAAGACGCTCACCATCAGTGGCTGCCGTTGGCCTGGTGCTCAGCAAGGGCAGGCCCACCGAGTCCTGCGGGTCCTGACCGAGCGCGTCCTCTTCTGGGAGAGCCCGGTGTGCCGTGGAGCGTCGCACGGGCCCTGCCGTAGGCGAAGGAGCGTCCTCGCAGGGTCCAGGCGCTCGCAGTGTCAAGTTCCGTTGCAGGCGACACACGAACTGGCGCAGCTGGCAGGCGGACGCGTACGTGTTGCCGTCTGAACCGCACACGGGTCCGCCGTCGTCGGAACCCCCGGCACACTGCTCGCAGGCGCCCAGAGGCCCACTGGCCGAACTGCAGCCATCGGCGCCCAGGCGCGCGGACCGGTCGGTGCACTGGTCGCACTTCATGCCGTGCACGCCGTGCTTGCAGACGCAACGACCGGTCATCTGCTCGCAGTCGTCCCGCACGGAGCCCAGAGCGCTGCACTGGCAGGGCGAGCACCCGTTGACGCCGTCGGCGATGCGGTGCAGGCCCCAGTAGCCTGGCAGACAGCGGTCGCAACGTAGTCCACCCACGCCGGGCTTGCAGGCGCACTGGCTGCTCTGGGCGTCGCAGGTGGCGGCCAATGACCCCAGACGGTTGCAGTTGCATACGCCTGCGCGGACACACCCAGAGGGGGTCACCTACGCGAACGTTCCGCCCATTTCGGTCACGTATTAATTACCACGGTGCACCGTGAAAGAAGGTGAAGGGTGAGCACTAAGAAAGAAAAGAAGTTGAAGGGGGAGAGAGTCTGCTTTTCGCTCCAGTGTGAATTATTCATGCATGCTTTTTCCGCATCGAACCATCACTGCCGCTGCTGTAGTTACAGCTGTTGAACAGGCTCTATATCTCTACCGTTGTTGATTGTCTTCCACGCCTAACAATCTCAGGGTATGTCCAACCGCGTGCATCGTTCAATTCAAAGCGCAACAATGAATTCACAAGAACCACGAGGAGTATATCAGAAATATTGCGCGTTGTGACCCGCGTTTGTAAAGCGGCAACAATTAGACAGGCGGTTTGAACGCACTCAACCGCCATTACTGACCTAACCCTCGCCTCACTGAAACGTCGAGTTACCGAAACTATAGCGATGACCAGTCCCCCGAAGTCAGCGTCGGGGAAAGGCACCGTGATGCCTAAAATGACAGTTTCGCGTGACAAGAGCGATGAAGTGAACCTGCTGGAATATTAAGCAAAATGTGTACGTCGTGAGTTATGGTATTTGATATGCTTACTGGGACATCCGGCATGGTTGACCCCCAGCGCCGGCGTCACACCGTCGGAGCAGCATCCAAAGGCGCTCTGGGCGCACGTCTTGGGGCCCTTGTTGGCGGCTCCCTTGAGGCAGGCGTCCGGGCCGTCAGCAGGCCGGATGTCCTTCTGCCGCCGGCAAGCCTCCTGCCTCACGTGGCAGCTGCTCGGGTACCAAAAACCGTCGGAGGCACACACCCGGATCACACTGGGACCGACCTCGTCGCAGTGAAGCTCGCAGCGGCAGTCACCTCCCGGTCCGCACACGGCGCCGAAGCGACAAGCGCCGGAGCAGCCGTCGCCGCTGCCCGTCTCCAGGTCTTGTTCGGCGGCAGTGCAGGGTCTCGGAGGTCCAAGGTCTCGGCCCTGCTTGCAAGAAGCCCTCCGCAACTGGCACTCGTTGGAGTACGGCTGGCCTTGGGTGTCGCAGACGGGCTCCAGGGCTTCGGGACAGTCCCGCGGACAGACACAAACTCCGCTTTCGCAGCGTGCTCCAAGGCTGCACTGTACGCCTTGGCACGTGTCACAGGGTCCCCTGGATGCGAGCGCTAGTGCCCGCTGCTGCCGGCAGGACGCCCTCCGTAGCTCGCACTCGTTTGCGTACGTCAGCCCGTCCGAACCGCATACCGGGTCGTCGAGGGGTGTCGGACACGGCGGCGGACAGGTGCAGCGGGCCCCCTGGCAGATGCCGTAGAAGGGACACTGGCGACCGTCGCAAGGATCCGAACAGAGCCCAGGATGTGCGACGGTCACGGCGGGCAAGCCGGTCCCTGTGGAGGACCTCTGGCAGGTCTCGCGACGTAGTTTGCACTCGTTCGGGTAGGAGATGCCGTCGGAGCCGCAGACGGGCTCGAACTCTTCCGAGCAGGGCGGGCAGTGGCAGGAAGGGGCGCCGTCCGCCGCGGGGGCGCAGAAGGCTCCCTGGGGACAGTGGAAGCCGTGGCAGGGCGCGCTGACGTCGCAGGGGCCCGCGTACGAGACGCGGAGCTGCTCGTCCGCTCCAAGGCAGGCTTCGCGGCGGAGGTGGCAGGCCGAGTCGTAGCTCTTGCCGTCCGATCCGCACACGGGCCGAAGGACCTGTTCGCAAGGGGGCGGACAGGCGCACGAGGCCTTGCCGAAGCGGTCGATGTTGCAGTCGAAGGGACACTCCAGTGCCCCGCACGGGTTGAGGCCCTGCGAGCACGGGCCGGCGTAGATAATACGGATGGAGCGGTGCGAGCGGCATGCCTCCACCCGGAGCAGACACTCGTTCGGGTAGGTGCGGCCGTCCGAGCCGCACACCGGCCGGAGGTCGCCCGGGCAGGCGCCGTTGCAGCGGCAGATCGGGTTCCGCTGCTCGTCCAGTTGGCACACCTGGGAAGCTGGACACTGGACACCTTGGCACGGATCTGCGTTGCGGACGACGGGGCGTTTTCTGTGAGGCAGCTGGAGGTTGTTACAGTGTTGTATTGGTATGAGACGATGATATATTGTTAATTCGTCTCCTGCTCTTTTATTAGGCAAGAGCAACATGCACACGATATCCTCGTAATCAGTTGTACCAAGAGAGTTGCCGTAAAACACGATACGCAAAGGTCTTCTGGAAGGATAACTCACATGAGGGACAAGGGTTGACAGGCGATTTATTCATTTTGTTATCGTAGCAATGTCGTTCGGGAGAAGGGTCGGCGATGTGCAGGCCGATTCCTACATGCAGTGGAGCGCTGATGTAGCGCTGTTCACGTGTCGTCGGCTACTTATCATCTGCCATGAGCAACCGTTTTGACGGTGCGATACAAATCTGGTGAACACTACCGTCAGCACGCGCTTAGCGCAAAGTCAGCGCTGTGCTTATAGCGCTTCGCTGCGCGTGTGAACAGGCCTTGATCTTACACCGTGGTCCTGACTCAGGACGGTTTTATTATACTTATTTTCTAAATAGACCGATCTCACCAAGCGTTCGGCGCATGCTTGAAGCCGCCATGACTTTAGTTCGGGAGACAGGCGGCAGTGCCCGAGACGCCTCATGCCGTTCTGTGCATGGTGTGGACGCGCAGAGCTCCAACGAGGTTGCCGCACGTGCGGAAAGACTAAAGTTCCCTCGATGCATTGCGGCAGCAGTGGAGTAGCCAAACTAGCTGGGACATCGGTCTATTGGTAAATTATAGTGAGACTGGTGAAGTCTAGAACTGTGGCAGGTGATCGTGTATAAAAACAAAAACAAATAAAAACACGAGATGTATTGTTGAACAGAAGGTGAGAGAGCAAACCAGCTGGTGGTAGTTGAACATAGTAAAAACACCCCAAGACTGGGAAATGAAAGGACGAACAAACACAGACGTGTGTTTGTCCGTCCTTTCTTCTTCCCAGTCCCGGAGTGTTTTAACATGTATTTTTGAAAGATGTAAATGGTGCGACGAGTGGAAGAAATGATTTAAAAGGGACTGCAGAGGACGAGAAAGTCGGAGAAACTGGTGCAATGAGTGATGCAAAACTAAAGTGCTTCAAGAAAATGATTAAAAAAAAAAAATGAGGCATACCCTTCGAGCAGGGGGAACAAGTGGGTTAAAAAAGAAAACAAAAACAAGTGTCAGGTATTTCTTGGAACTTCGCAACACGCCGTCTTTTATGAAAGAATTATCTTTAGCTGTTGACTCGCTCGAACTCGTGTGCTTACCACCGTGGATGTGTCCGTGGTTGCAACATATGCCACGCAAGCATCTGCTATCCCGTAAAGTTTCTTACCTAGCGACATTTGTTCGGTCTTTGAGCCGCAATTCGCCTTGCATGAGGTCTTCGAAGGACAGCATTCGCGCAAAACAGGGCGAAGTTATTCAGTTCGCTACTCCCTCGCAAAACGTTCTTGTTTATTTTTTTTTCTATCTTAGAATACTGTTCTTTTCATTATCCACGGAGGCTGCACCACTACTGTTCTTGACATCTGCGCATAAATCCATCCTTGCACCTTTTCACTTACAATGCGGCCCACGTCGGACGTGTTCGTCGGCCACTCCCCTGGAACTTGTCTGGCGGGACCGTGGCTTCGGCGGGTGGGCTTTATGCTCGAATTCTCTCGAGATCGACCCGACGGCGTCGGGACCATAGCTGGACAGTGGCGGCTCGACTCCAAGACGCTAACTAGGCTCGCCTGCATGCAGGCCACGTTTCGGAATCCTCCGCTTGAGTTGAGGGCGGAAAACGATTTTCGCGCCGCGACGTGCTCACAAGAGGCATTGGCTACTTCTGCAAAAATCTGCAGTCTCCCTTTTTTATGCGTCGAAGTTAACGTTTCCAAGGACTCGCGTACCTTCTGCAATTGCTTAAAAAATGTATATATAAAAATCTGCCAAGCAATTACGAGCCCGGCGTCTAAATTTCATAGCAGTTTCTGGAATGAAGATACTGGCGCTAGTCGGGTTTTAAAGCCGGTTTGTTTTCCAGAACCTCCCATAGTCACCGGAATCAGCCAATCAGCGCTGATCACGTGACCTTTCCACCAGCCAATCAGCGTCGAGCTTCGCGGTCGATTGTTTTGGGCTTTCCTAAGTCTGGTGACAACCCCCTGACGACCCAAATAACGTTTCACGTTAAGACAGCGTTTTGCCCGCGCTTACCAGTGGCTTCGCTTTTTGCTTAGTCTCGTTTCGAGTTTTGGCCAGAACAAGGAGCGGATTGGAACAACGCGAGAAAGTTTGCCTCGAGTCACACTTGAAGCCCAACTTTAACGAAAGAAGCCTGAAAGGGTTTCATGCGATCGCGACTTTATTCACGATGAAGTGAGCAAGAAAATTATACACTCCCTGCTAAAGCGATATGTTCACGTTTTATCCAAACCGACGCGTATGTTTTCATTAAAAACTAAAAATCGACACTGGATAAAATACAAAGGGGAACACGCATTCCCTTAATGATGTACCGTCTACTGGTTTATGTATATTTAAAATTATTGGACGTACGATCTTAATTGGGATCTATAGCTGCGACATCCGAAAATCGTAGATATATCATTCGCCCAGATTCGATAAAAAAAACTCGCTCACGGTGCAGTACGTTAAAACGAATGACAAGTATAAATTTAGTGGTCAAAATTTGTAGACTTTGGGGAAGTACGTTCTTCAGTTGCTTCATACATCATTGTAAAAACATAAACAAAAGAGCACGGTTACCACAACGCTATTGGCGGCTTGTCCTAAGAGCGGCCACGAATGAAGATTAGCTGGCGACCGATGGGATTATTCGGATGGAAATGTGCTAGCATTATAGTTGTTCCTCACCCCTCGTTCACCCCTTCCGTTCGTGTATGACCCTTTCCCATTTGTTTATTACCGCATCCATATCATTCGTGGGGGGAACCACATTTATCGTTTTAACCATAGAGTTATTATAATAAACGCTAGAAGCTCAGCCGGCGCTAGTGTCTATGGGACTTCCGGTTGCAAATTGAAGCAGACAGCATGCAGTCTACTTTTCCAGTCTCCCTGTGTATTCCTATGGGAAAACGCGCGTGAATTTTGTCTCGTCGCCGGAAAATAACATGAATAACTTTTGTTATTTCGGCTGTACCGAATAGTATGTACCTTTATTAATATTGTGAAAGTGTAATTGCTTTAGTTACAGTATTTTTTCTTTACCACTGAACGATGTTAAACTTCGCTATATTTCAGGCGCAAACCTCTATTCCATGGCAGGTATGTATAAACGAGCGACGATTCCAAGCAAAATAACGACCGAAAGGAATGTAGAGTGCGTTCAAAGTTCGCCAGCATTCCTGTCCTCTCACTCTACATATGAAAATGACCCCGTCGTGCATCTTTACGAGTGGTTAAGAAAACGTTCGAAACGTAAAGAATAAAGTACGTGGACTACGAAAGGTGCATTTTCTTGTTATTTCCTATGTTGGGCAGTTTTTATCGCGCGCCTGTTCTCTGGCTTCCTCCTATTGCAAAGATTTGGAGCGTGCGGGTGATGATTTGAACACAGAACAAGCATCTTCGCACATATTCACGAGCAGGAAGCATAAAGCAGTACTTATTTATTGCAAATCGGACTATATTACGTGACTTTCAATTTATTGTGATCGTCTGCAAGCAGAGTTACTTATCCAGCGTAGTTCTTGCCGTCTCTCTTCGTTTTCCACATGTCCTTCGTTCGTTTGGCACGTATATCCCCCATGCAGGGGCGGATGCAGAAATTTCCTGAGAGGGGGGTCAGGTGTTGGTCAGCGTACCATTTGTTTAGGAACCCCCTCACCCTCTCCCTCGTTTCGCGCCCTAGATTTTACACATGCAGAAATCAAGAGGGGGGTCAGGACATCCGGACCTCCCCTCTAAATCCGCCCCTGCCCCCATGCTGGAAAGCGCCGACTCCGTGTTCGCGCTAACAGTGTCCGACAGTGCATATAAATACATGTACGAAGCGTTTTTTGCACCGTTTTCATGCCAGATTTTAAAATAAAAATGCCGTAACTGACCAATTATTTCATCTGCGTGTCTGGGAAATGTTCCAATGTGCCTAGTAGGTACGATTTATTCGTGATATTTGCTCTTATAATCGAGCGCAGAGAAGAAATGCACTCGCTTTTTCCCGTAGAAATGCATTACCGGAAGTCAATTTCGGACTGCTTGCTGTCTGCTTCAATTTGCAACCGCACACTAGCGCCAGTTGAACCTCTAGCGTACATTATAATAACTCTATGGTTTTAACTACACACGCACATCACAGCCCACGACCGCTGCTACGGAAGCCCAGGGCGAGCTACATTCGGCGACGGCACAGCGGCAACTGAGCAGGCCCGCGTTCCACTGCGCCGCGGAGCCTCGTCCTCTCTGACTCCGCGCCAGCTGTGCGACGCTCCTTTGACAAAAACCCGGCGGTGACTGTCAGTTTGTCAGCGCCGGGGAGAGAGGGAGTGGGTGACGCGTGCTGACGTCAGCGCTTCGGGCAATGAGCCCCTAGAAGATGAAGTGGCGCCACCTGACGGCTCCTGTCGTGACGTAAAGTAGCAGCGATCACGCGACCGCTGCTGCGAACTTGATACCAGGATTGACTGGCTCCATCCAATCGCAACGCTGGCTGCGGTAGGAATTTTGGCTATCCATGCTGCTTTCCCACTCTCTCACTTCCCCGCACAAAAAAACAACAACAAAAAAAACAACAGTGTTTGCGAGTTTGCAAGAACAGGGAGGCAGCTAATGACGGCGAACGAGAGTGGGACTGCAATAAGGTACTGCGGTGGGCTAGTTGGTTCATACTTAGTGTTTGAACAGCGCAAAGACGACAGGAAGATAGAAGAGAAGAGGCCACACGCTCAATGGTCTCCAGGTGGCGAAGGTTACCACGCCTGGGTCAGCAAACTATAGCACGTGCTTTTTCTCCTTTTTCTTTTCTTCTTTTTCCTTTTTCTTTTCTTTCCTTTCTTTTCTTTCCTTCTCTTCTATCTTTCTTTCTTTTGCTTTCTGGTTGCGCTTTCGGTTGAAGAAAAGGTGACGCCGGCTGGCACAGGCCATTCCCGTGCAAAAAGCTGCCGCGCGTGTGTCTGATGAAAAAAGTGCATTTTGGCACTCTCGAGTCTCGCGCACTTCATCCTCTTCTGAATAAATAGCATCAGTTGATAGTCAGCGCTCGTCCTGTCCTCTTCTCTTCTATCTTCCTGTCGTCTTTGCGCTGTTCAAACACTGAGAGTGGGACCCCAGCGAATGATGAAGCTCGGAATACGACTCTATGCGATAATCGTAATCTACGCAGGGACAGTAAGCAGGTGAAACATCATGCTCATCATCGCATCTTTCGGGTCTAATTTTATTACAAGCTTTGTCATTGGCGGGGATTCATTCGTTGTTTACAGCCATTGATTGACTTGTTCTGGGAAAAAATGAGCTCACAAACATTTGTTTTTGTAGGGTGTGGGTTTGTAAAGCCTCGGTTTACGGTTCTAAAAATAGTCATTAATGTGGTAATTTACGCCAGTTGGTTCATGATAGGCAACCTCGGGCCCGAAAATACTTCATCGAGAATGTTTGGAGAACCTACATCCTCTGGGACCTACCCGCGAAAAGGGAATGAGAAGAACAACCTTCGCTCGTTAGATGAAAAGATTGGTCGCGTAGTTAGCGCCCCTCTCCTGATTAGTGCACCGGGGAGTCTGGGCTCCGGACCGGAGTTGCGGGGGAGCTCGAGTGCCGCTTGGAAAAGGTGCGGGGAGATCGATCAGCCCCAGCGTCAACGCCGGCTCCCGAATGCGCCGATCCGACTCGCCTATACGCCATGCTCTCCTGCAGTTCGCTCATGGGGTCAAGGCTGCTTCTGGAAAAAGCTTCGGAACTGGCACACTTCAGTCATCTTGGTGCTCAAGACCTTCGACGCAGGTCATCTGAAAAGCTCTATCTAAAATCCCAGAAAACGCTTTTCCGGCCTCCAGATATGTTAAAAAAGTTCGGGACAGAGAAAGACAATATTAGGGACTTTTAGCAAACCGTTACCGTGTTCCACGTACCGCACTACTGGAGCCCTCGAGTGATACCGTGACCGCGAGGAGCGCGCTTAAAAGCATGCTTTGAAGGCTCCGGGAGTGCGGTACGCGGAACACGGTAACGGTTTGCTAAAAGTCCCCATTACCTCGGCTTCCCTACGCCGTATCCAAAGTTCAGGTTTTCGAATCGTAGCGATCGTCAAACACGGTCTCTCTGCACTAAGCACCAAAATGGCGGCGCACACAAAAAGATCGGGGAATGAAGTGCCGATGCCTTAGCTTCTTTAGTAGCTCTCGGTGCTGCGAGCTACAGCCTGCGCCAGACGTCTTGCTGGATGGACGTCTACGTGAAGGCGACTTATTGAATCGGAGGACGCCGACTTTCATTTGACGTGAACATAGTTTTCTCACCGACCTACATAATCAGTCGACCTATTCTGACGAGCCGAGTCAGGAGTCGGGAATCCGATAGACGATTTCTTCTCTGCTTACACCGGTGAAACTAGATTCTTGGGCGATACACAAAGCACCGTGGTCAATCCCTGTTCAGTCGAGGGATCTCTGAACTTGTGCATTGTAACCAAAAGACGACACAGGGGAAGCGGTTACAAGCTAGATAAAGTATTTTAAGAGTCAGCTTACGGTAGCTTTCTCACCTTGCGGAGGCTCAGAATTCATCTGGACGCAAGGAAGCCCTACTGGCGCCAGCGTAGCTTTTCGAGTATCGGAGGTGGGCTTGACACAATGCTGGAAAATGTGACGGTCGGTGCTACACCGTTATATAAGTCAGTACTGGAGGCCTTCTTCGAGGTAATTGTATACAAGTTTACGTGTACAGGAGTTACCGATTTTTCACATAAACCGTTGTTTCCCCCCTTCGTGTCATTCCCATTGTATGAGATACCAATCAGAAGCTCAGGGATCGAAGAGGATCTCTGCCTGAACACGACACGTGCACTTGTCTTAACATTTCGTTAAGAGAAGTTAAGAGGCTATTACCTTTTTTCTTAGCTTCCTGCAATTACGACTAACCCTCATCGACATCCTTCTCGACCCACAGAACAAGCAACGTGTCTGGAAAGACTGTGGTTGAAAGGGCACTCTACCCTGCAGACATGGGTATAGATTTTGAGAGGCGTGAACGACGTAGCGACCGTCAAACAGCCCAAAATAAAGAACGTCGGACTACATGGCGTCGACGCCGCACAATCGCTAAGCGTTGCAACGGGGAAGAGGGGTTTTCAATCTGGGGGTAGCATAAAATATATTTGGGAGTTCCAGGGATATCTGTACCATATGTTAGTGTACTTTACGTAGAATATTATGAGAATGGGGAGGATGGTTTGGGGGGGGGGGGGGGGGGGTAACCTGGAGGGAGTATGGGGTGCGTGCCACCGGCGGAGAGGGGGCAGCAAAGGCGTACCGCAGGGTCCGGTGAAGCGGTGCTGGACGTCCCTCATAGCGTTGCAGGAGGCCCGCCGCAGCTCGCAGCTGTTGGGGTAGTCCCTGCCGTCGGAGCCGCACACGGGCCTGGACCCGCGGGCGTCCCCGTACGACACGCACTTGTCCGGGCAGACGCAGTCGGCGGCGCGGCCGTCCAGCGTGGGCCGGCACTCGGCGCCCCACTCGCAGCGCTTCTCCAGGCACGGGTCGACCACATCTGGCGGGAATTTGTAGCAGGCTCGGCACAGGCACGCCAGCAGGCATACGACGCAGGGCACGAGCTGGCCCAGCAGCAGGCTGCTCGGGGGACCCATGGCTCACACGCAGGGACACGCGCGCGCTCGCTTCCGCTGCGGACGGGGATCGATGCGGAGCGGGCTTGGGCGCCGCCAGGGCCCGCCACGGTGCCCGGAGCTGACCCCCGGGGCTCGGCGGGGCTTCGAACCCCGGGGGGAAGCTCAGGAGGGCCGAACGGTCTGGCGCGGATGTCAGTTGGTTACGTATCGGGACGAACTGTGGGCTTGCGGCCGCGTGCACTCGTTAAAATGCCCGTGCGCCTACATTCGAGCAAAACACTTTCTTTAGTCCCAGACTGCGTTGACATGGATACGACAGTAGGGCATCGGATGGAGAGGGAACCAGTCACACGCGCCTAGTCCCCCTGCTTCTTCTTGCCCGTCACAATCGTCATATCTCGATTTGACGGTCGTAGCCAAGCATCCGCGGTTGACAACTTAAGAAACCGAAGGTTCACGCCTCTTGCTTCGGGACTAGCTCTTGGGCGTTTTTATTGGCTAGTTTCGAATTCAAATCAGCTACATAACAAGGCTGCGTAGTTTCTGATTCGTGACGTCATTTACCGGGGGCCAGCGCGGACCACAGATTGGTCACGATGCATGCGTCAGCACAATCTTGTTTCATTTTTATTGACGAGTTTGTTCCACATAAATCAATTCGATAGGCGCCCAGAGCGCAATTTCTTTTTTCGACGCGAAGGTACAGGTGAACGTCGGCTCACAGAGAATTGTTTCGTTTTGGGGTTTTATATTTTTGATCGGGTTACGCCCTGTTGTCCAACTTTCGCGTTCAATCCCCACCATGCTAGCGGCACATTTACGCGGAGTTTCAGGTTTCGGGCGATGCGCAGTTTATTTATCCGGGCCTCAAAACCGGGTGTCATTTTCTCTGTCGGACCCCGTGGAAAAGCGCCCCGTCGCTAACCCTGGAGGGGAGGGAAACCCGACGAACTTGATGGAACTCACCGCAGGAGCCCTGGTGTGCGACGGTGATCCTCTTCTGCCGGATGCAGGCGGTCATGCGCAGCCTGCACTCGGACGAGTAGGTGAAGCCGTCCGAGCCGCACACGGGCGCGAACAGCTGGTCGGCGCAGGACACCCGGCAGCGGCAGTACGCCTGGCCGCGGTCGCTGTGGCACTCGGCGCCAAAGCGGCACCGGGTCTTCGAGCACGGCCCGTGGTCCTGCGCTCCTGCATGTCGAGGAAGCGATGCAAGATCCACCTTAGTGCCTCGGCGCAAAGTCACGCTGCTCGATCATACTCCACGCAGAAGACACTCGCCGTTTAAGCGCGTTATGTTCGATTCATATATCTTCGAACGTGTTTCCAGACAGTTTTTGTATCAGTATTACCAATGTGACGGTTGAACGTCACATGAGGAAGAAGCACGCCTCGTCTGCGCAGTGTACTCCATTAATCGCCTAGGTTTTGTCAAGCCCTAACCCCATCAAACGTGATTCGAACAGATTTGGTGGTACTAAAGTGGGGTTTGATTGTCACCAGGTGCGTCGGAAGCTTTCGGGAGAGGGGGGAATTTTCCTCCCCCGAATTATTTATCTCGTTCTGGATGGACATCTTACCGGCGTGAAGTCGGGCTATATAGCCCACGTTGGCAATCTATTGGGTCCAAGCTTGGACCCAATAGATTTGAATTGAGATCCCCTGAAAATTGTCCTGTTAGTCTAGCCAAAGCGTAATCAAAGCACCTTTGAGGTATTGTTTGCACCCAAGCACCGGCGCTCCGTTGCAACAAACACTGAACTCGCGCCTTTAACTTTCACCCTCATGTCGGGAAAAGGGATTGGCAACCATTTGATTATCAACCAATCAATCGAGCAACTCGAAAATCACCGACAGGTGATTTTCGTTGCGACAATTATCAGTAGCATCGGGCTAGGCCCCCAAGGCATTTAAGATATTTCCCTAGTCTGGTGACAGCTTAAGAAGAACCAATTATATTGTGGCCTACAAGAACGCTCGAAGCAAGAAGCTCGGACAGGATGAGCCACGCCCCGCATTTCTTAAGATATCGGCGAGTCAAGTAAACTTTCCGGGATGAAGGGGAGGAAAATCCCCCTGCCGTCGGGCCCCATCACCCGTTGAACGGTGCCTCCGCACTGGCGACGAGACAGGCTGGGCCGTTTATACTGTTTCTCATGGGGCCCACCAGATGACACTACCGGGCCGCCAAGGAATTTCGCCCGAACGCGCAGGACTGCGTCTACCTGGCGCCCTTTTCAAAATGCCGCCAGTTCGTCGAGGCGTCTCAAAGGTTTGTTCACGATTGTCAGTCGCTGTTATAGACTTTTGCACAGGGTGTAGGAAATTCTGGAAAGGGGGAGACAACAACCTAGAAGACAAGGCTTGCACCTTCCAAACGTCATTACTAGTGACAAAGCCCCCCAAAAAAGGAAGTTTTCAACATTGCACATACGCCGCGAGGAGCAGTTCTCATAAGATTTGGTTGTCGGAGGAAGAAACGATGCCTTTGGCGTTTGAAACGTGTACGTCTTGATGAGCATATCTGACCCAAAATGCACCTACGTATATATCTTAATTCTCTACATAAAAATAGAAATTAGTAGGGCGCCGAACCCGATTGATCACAACCCTTTAATCGATTAATTAATCGATGAATCGGTTTCGTTGATTTCCAGGCATTTTAACGAAGGCCGAATTGCGCCCCTCGCCTTTGCTTCCTTCTTTTACGGTATGATAGATGGCGCAATGTTGATCCCTTAGTATAAAGATCGACTCGTAGGTGTCTTTGACAAAGTAACAAAGAGCCTTGCAGCTGTGGAAGCAAGGACGTTTGTTGCTAGGCGAAAACGAGCCCTATTGCTCGTTGTTTCCAATAGTCCCTGCTGCGCTAAACAAACTCGGTGCTGAAGTAGTCGGTTCAGATATAGTATTATCTTCTTGTTTCCGGTTCCAAACATCACCCCTGCAGCTTACATCGCATCCAAGATACACCAACAGTTTGCCCTTCATGCTGGTATACTCGTCCGCGTCTGCGCAGTGCCTAATCCCGAAGCGAGTAAAAATAGCGCAGGATAGGCCCTCTGTGTTGTCGCTATTTTTATACGATTGCTCACGGACTTCGGTAAAATCTGTGGTCGTTCCTTTTTTTTTTTTTTTCGATTCCAGTTTGGCAGGTAGAAGGCCCGTTCACACTCTTGCGACCGAGTAAGACCGAGAGAGACCAGACCGGTTTTTAAGCCTCTTGCGACGTCTCAGGACCAGCTCCGCTGCAGCGCATCCGGTCCTAAGAAGTCGCAAGGGGCTTAAAAACCGGTCTGGTCTCTCTCGGTCTTACTCGGTCGCAAGAGTGTGAACGGGCCTAAAAAAAGCGTTGAATGTTTTTGTTACTTCTTTCTTGTTTCGGTTTTTCAAAATTGAACCGATTAACAGGTTAAAGTACTTGATCGCGATTGAAGCATTAATCAATTAATCGGAAGGTTAATCGATCATTGGCGAATTAGTGGTATTCCGCGAGGAGCCGGGCTTTCTTGACTAGGGTTCTTCAAAGGAAGACAAGTATAAAGCATCCGGGCAGCGGCGTCTAGCTTGCGTCGGTATACGGAGAGCAAGTCGTCTGCTTCTTAGGGTTGCGGTGACATCAAAACGACGCCGAGTTCTGATTGGTTTCGATCAATCAGATAGTGGGTAGACCTCAAAGCTAGATGCCTTGAGGTCTACCCACTATTTTCTTTCAATCAGCCAATGAGAGCTCGGCGTTTTGACATCGTTGCAACCCCTGTGCAAGAAGCAGACGAACTTTCGCTCCGCATTGTTGCCAGCGCGTCCCGCAGCGTCTCACAACGAACGTAACAGAAGTTGTGTGAACTTGAGCGTGTTGGCCACTTGGGGCGGGGCGGGGATCCACTGTAAGTATGACGTCATGCGCAGGCATCATCATCTAGCTGGTACTCACCTATGCCTGGGTCACCGATGTTCGAATCACAGACGGCTTTATTGCCTTCATTAGTCTCAAGAACTCTCGAGTTCTTATGACTAATGTAGGTAATAAAGCCGTCATTAGTCACAAGAGCTTTTGAGTTCTTATGGCTAATGTAAGTAATAAAGCTGTCGGTGATTTGAACATCAGTGACCCAGGCATAGGTTAGTATGTTGACAGTGGGGATATTGAAATATCCCCACTGTCAACGCATTTGGTTTTTGGTGACAAAATAAATACAATTTCACCACACTTTTCTCCTTTTTCTTTTACTCGGGAGAGCAGTTATGCTACGCATAGAGCTACTACATAAGTCCCGCTATAGAGTATCGGCACTCCCCTGCTTTCTGATGGGCGCCGCCATTTTGGTGCCTAGCGTAGTGCGGGCGACCGATCTCACCAGGAGTTGCGCGACGCCACCGCTGCCCGCGGTGCATTCTGGTACCTGAAGCACTCCCCAGCGTTCCGACCGCGTCAATGCGCGTTGTACGCCCGGCGTTTGGTATTTTTTGGGTCAGCACGAGACTTTTAATTGGCTGTTTACTGAAGGTTTTCAATGGGTGGCTTCACCTGTTGTGTGACAGGGTGCTACAATAACAGCACCGGACAAAAAGGCATCGAATTTTATGTCATCCCGAAAGAAAGCAGCCCCCGAAAAGAGTGGCTAAGAAAGGTAAACAGAGCTGGACCAAGCAGCAGAAAAACAAACGTTTTTCGATTTGTTTCGTGATTTGCTTCATAATTTATATTTACCCCATTGCACTAGCTAAAGAGTGTAAGATTACAGGTCACGAGACTTACTGGGGCATGCCGAAGTGTTCCGTACGTTGAAATCTCCCTGAGCACTCGATCTGTAGTGGTCTATCCGTTAGTCTATATCAATCGGGACCTCCGCACTGCTTTGCGGTGGCCGTTTTTAAAACACTGTTTCCTCAATGTATTTCGGTGGTGATGACTCTCATTACGAGGACACGTTTTAAGCACAACTGTGCTTCAAAAGATCAGGACAATCACTAAGAAAGGACCAACGATTCCCGAAATGTATCATTTGAAATAAGAT